CTGCTGAGCGCTGTTGACATTGCTTGTTTGCAGGTAACTGGCAGAAATGCACGATGCAGAGAACCTCAGAGAACAGCAGCCGAGAATAAACTGCTTTGTTACTTCCAGCAGACTGGCAATTCGGCCCAGAATAATACGGTGCTATTTGTAATAGTGAACGGGTAGGATACAGATTAGTATCTGTGTCCTCACATATCTTGGGAGATCTGTGAAACAAATACACTGAAAATGCTTACAAATTGGGAAAAAAACCAACCAAACAAAACCACAACAAACCAAAATAACATAACAAACCCAACCACAAGTACTTTTGGATAGCCCAGGTTTTTTGCAGGCCAGTTTTTCTGCTTTTTTCAGCCTATTTTTGCTGTTCCAGTGGCTCAGCACAGGAAATAAGAACTGGGTCACTTTAAAGAGTTGAACATATTTTTGTCACTGGGAACTCCTGAGCTGGACTGGCTAGCTCTCATACCACAACCAACAGGCTCAGTGATGGGGCTTGCACATGCATGAATTTCTTAGATTTGGTTTGATATGAGAAAGCTCAGGAAAACTCAACCATTCTCATTTTGGTCACTGTCAGTCAAAGGCAGCAGCTAAAGTCAGATACAAGTGTCCTACTGACAGAATGTTCTCCCTGCATCTTCCAAAGTAAAAACTAAAACAAAGGATCCTAAAAATAATTGCTCACATCATATCACGTAAGAATTAGGTTTCCGACTCAGACTGAGCTGTAACAGAAAGAAGGAATTTTATTATGCAAACCATGGCATTCTGAGAAACGTGTTATGCTGAGAAAACCAAGCAGATCTGGTAATTCTGTTCCACTGAATCACTGCACAATGTGATCTGCACAAAGCTCATAGGGAAAAATGAAAGTAGAAAGAGATGTGACAAGTAAACTCCAGGCAGTAAACCAGTAATAAAACTACAAATACGGTAATTCAAGCTATCATTCACCTTTAAAACCTGTTTCACCGTTACTTGGTCATTTAACTTCAGAAGACCAGTCATATTCTTGGCCAGCTCCTCATGAATGGTCCTTTCTTCAAATGATTTGGTCCGGAACACATACTGAAGAAAAAAGCAAAAATAAAAAGTATCAAAATGTACTGTAAAATAAATATGAAAAAAACCTCAGTAGGAGAAGATAAATTATTTACACATTACTAACAGCTGACAATCTTTGCTGCCAAAATATCTTGACTGAACAATCGGTTCACATAAAGTTTAATTCTGCTAGCAGTAATGGCACAACACTGCTCTCCTACAAAATCCCAGTTTTAAACACAGCTTCCTGTGGATTTCGCCTTAACGTGAACCAAGGGGAATTTCTGCTTAAAATTAGTAAATTATGATTTATTTTTTTTAATAGGGCATAGGATCCTGACACCTCTAAACTGCCTTTTGAGCCATTTCACCAGGTGGAAAAAAAGAATAAGCAAGCAGAGGAAGTACAGAGGGTGTTTCACCCACCTAGTCAGGGCCACCTGCTGCTTGCTCCTTTCTTCCAGTGGCAACAGCTACTCAGAGCTAGTAACAACTCTTCATCGTGAAAGGTGTAGAGCACCCACTGGAGCTAACAGAAGGGGAAAACTATACCCCTTTTAGATGTCAAGACCTCAAGAGACAAATTTATCTACCAAGTTGCTCAGAACTTATAAATCTAGTATGAGTTTTATTCAACATTTTAAGCAAATCATTTGGTACTGGTATCCATTAGTCCTTCCCTAAAGCAAGAGCTCCTCCAGTGCATCAGTTGGGATGAAATGCCTTATACAACAAGGTAGGTAAAAGAAAAGAGTAGCACTTGAAAATATTAATATTCAGCCTTGTTTTCAGAGCAGATTCCATAAGCTTCTCCCCGTGCAGTTTGACGCTACCGGGTCCAGTTATTTAGTGCCAGTGTAATTTAGCATCACTATTGCATCTGAGCCACTCAACTTACTTATTCCCAAACAGCATTTCTAAAGTAGGTTTTCATTTCCTTACAGATGGATAAAAGAGATTAAGAGCTATTAGCTTTTTACTGCTGCTCGAAATGGGGAAACAGGCTAAATGGCTTTTCGGTGTGGTCTAATAATCACCTGTTATTTCAAAGATATTTAGCTGCAATAGGTGTCCATCACAATTTAGAAAATTTACTGAATAGAAGAGGTGCTAATGCCCATTTAATTAACGACATTTAAATGTTACATAGGTTATTTACTGAGGAGTCTGAAAAATTCTGCTGGACCTCAGCATAATTCCTCTGTGCTTAAATCGGAGTACTTGAGACTAAAACTTGACTACTAAGATGCATCACCTGTAAACCCATACTTTCATGAGGTATGAAAGTAAATCCATACGATGGAAATATCAACCAACAGTTCTCAACAATGAAATTAAAACAGTTTTCCCATTTACTAACCTAATTCCTATCATATTTCCATTATTCTACCCATGAGCATGCTAAAGGTTCAGAGTTCATCAGGAATGTATTTGCTTTCACTGTATTCCTAAAGTTAATTTAAAAAAACACCAAAACTTACGTTACACTGATAACTCATCATCTGCTAATGAAATGTATGCTATCAAAACTACTATCAGAATATCATTACAGCCAGAAGCCCGTGCAAACACTTGTCACTCGTGGCTTCCTTCCATGACTGCCCATTTCTCAGTGCTATCATGACCTGCATTATTTCTGTCACCACTGAACCAGAGCAGGCCAAGAGACAAATTGATGGCAATATCTACTGCAACTCTTCTAATCACCTGCAATTCTCCTTTATGTTGCTGTTTGACATACATATATAAGTTAATAAATATAACACTCAAAGATATCACAACTTACTACTGATTCATCTAGCAAGACCAGAACAAATTTTTTCAGCCAACTCTTCCGTAATTAAAAGCAAGAAAAAAAAATTAAAGGCAAGTGAAGGGGAAAAAAAAGTGTAACACCCTTAGATGAGGTTCATCTGTCTATTGATTCTTCTGTGCATGCCAGTAACAGCAGTTAATGTATTCTTCTACTTTAAAACAGGCTTTTTAATAAAATTCTCTGCTTATAAAGCTGTTACCCAAATACACTATTGATTAAATACTTGCTGGCCAATAGCATTATTCATACTTATTTAACTGACATTGAATTGATACTGAATGTCATCTTTAAAGTGGCCATTCTTTTGGCTTTTTAAGTTAAGCTCCAGTTTGCCGAGAAGCGAACTCCACACACAGAACATATCCATATGTGTTCTAGATACACCCTCTTCTCCAAACCAACAATGGATAAAGAAAGCTGAGTAAAGAGGGAACAGTTACAAGAATCTGAACTCCACAAATAAGAAAACCATTTATGTACAATAGCACACATGAAGACACAGAATCTTGACAATAAAATCATGACTTAAAAAAAATAACCAGAAACTTAATTAAAAAGATACACCTTCCTAAGAAACATGCAGCAACCATGAAGGGCACCCAGAATTACCTCTTCTAGAAAAATTACCACTGTAGATCCTTCTCAACTATGAGAGCAACCCAGTACATGTATTGTAGATACAGACAGATATTTTAAAGATATTTTTTAAATGGACAGATATTTTAAAATCTCACCACACTCATGGGGAATGTTGCAAACTGTAAGCAAACTACATTAAATTTCTCTCAATCGTATCTCTCTAGCTGAAGTTTCATGACCTTTCATGTATTCATCTCCTGCCTACCTCCTCTCAAATCCTGCAAGGTGGAAAACTCTCAGTTTAGCACCGTTTCTCAAAGACTGATGCTAAGCCTATGCTCCTTGAAGCTCTGCAGCAGTGCATTTGCACTAGGTCTTGTTTCTAAAATGTAAGCTCTAGTCATCAGCCGACTATGAGGAACTGTTCCTGCCACATCCCAGTACCCATTAAGAGTGCACTGCAGCTTCCTTCTCATCCCTGTGCTTGTTCGGCTGGGCATCCTATGGAAAGAAAGCTGCACCATGCAGAAGAAACACGAGCAGCCTTTTGTCCTCCTCAATGGAGTAAGGTTGCAAGCCAGGATGCAGCCAAGTTTGGTGGAAAAGGACACTCTAGAGTGTCCCTGCTCTACAAGATGCCCATAAAGCAGATAGGCAGTGTAATTTGTTCAAGGTGACGCTAGAAACTTATGGTAGAGGAGGAGAATTGACTCAGCCGCTTCCAAACTTTACGTTAGCTTCCTAACGAGAGACAATCAGCCTTCTAGTGGCAGAAAGCTATGATGCAAATGCAGAGAGAGCTGCAAACAAGTACAACTAAGAGTAAACAGGGAAAAACTCCATGAAAAACAAAACCAAAACCCATCACATAAAATAGCAGTAGTCATACCGTCACATAAGAATTGATGCAGCTGTCTAGTTGTTCTTCGTGGCACTTAGCCATAATGTTAGTAAGAACCCTGCAAGAGAAAAAAACAACAAAAAAAATGGAGGTGTTTTGTGTCATAAGGCACAGAAAGTCTATCTGATACATCACATTGTTCTGTTATTGTAACCTCAGTTAAAACAGCTCACGAGGGATGTGATTCAAATGATGACTAGCGTGTGCAGAAACTGGCCCACTGGGGAAAAAGCCAGCCACCCCTTGGGCCCTCCACTGGCACGGCTTGTGCTCTTCTGCACGCATTTGTCTAACAAAATGCACCCAGTTTTAACGATTGTAACTGTACTGACATGACAACAAAAGAACGCTATTAACTAACTAAAGCTTACACAAACCTTGGATGATTAGGAATAAGAAAAAAGAAAGTATGTTAATGAAACAGAGAGGCAAAGGCCTCTTTCTGTGGGAATGCTACTTGTCAGGTTCTCTCAGATCTTGGTAACTCTGCAAAGCTCTGGTACTTTGCTTATGATAACCCTGTTAATTAAAGAAAAACACAAGCCTAGGCTCAAGCCTGACCTATCTCACACAGTTTGCCCATAAACTCAGATCCAGCCCCTGTCCGAGTGCCCAAGCACCCAGGAACAAAAGGCCAAGCACCCACTCACAGCGGCACAGCAGGGAGAGGCCGGACACTTGGTGCAACTGTAGATGCTTTGAGCTTCTGCAGATCAGCCTGGTGATCAGCAACATGGAAAAAACCAACCTGGGCTTCTACTAACAGCAGAGATGGCACTACGTGAGACCAGCTATTGCAGCAAAAATTTCCCTTCAATTTGTACCTGGGCCGTCTTTGCTTGAGATAATCCTATTTCAGAAAACACAAGGCTGAGCAAAAAGTCATCTTCAACTTAACCACAAGATTTCCTCTTGATTATTGAGATCTCTCTTTTTCAGGATACCTAATATAGAAAAGTCTCTGCAATTTTATGATCTTATTTTTATGTTACAAGAATGGGGAGGAAAGGGTTCATGATTCTCAGATGTCAAAAATTACTGAATCCTATCTCAAATTTAGGTGTATGCATAATAACAGTATGACTAAAATGGATTATTAATATGTCTGACTGTGGTCTACATGCAAGTAGTAATTTTGACTGGCTTGGAGATTTTTATGCCAATTCTTATTACTGGACTGTAACTGTAATTATTTTTAGTCAGTATTGTTCACATATCTCATTTCTTGCTGGTAGCAGGAGAAGTAAAACTTGTAGCAAAACACAAAAGCTATAACAAAATGATCTGTACCCATTCTGATCTATCAGCCTTTATTCTGATTTGAAATTGAAATGAGTTCTGGCAAAGACGAGACAGAGAAATGATGACATGACTGGGTTCCCAGACAAGGAAATAACCATGAGGGAGTATAAAGGAATAATGTTTTCTCCCCAACACATAAGCCAATCTATGCTCTCACGCTGTTCTGGTTGCTTTTAATACATTCAACACAAGCTGCTCCAAGCTATTCAGAACAAAATACAATGTGTGTATATATAGGACATGTCAATGAATGGCACACACAGCAGACATGCATACTCCTGTTGACATCAGCTCTACCAGCACAAAAGCTACCACACATACAAGAAAAACACTGAGAATCCCCCTTTTTTTTCCCCCCAGATGGGTATATAGTCAAAATCTGAACCATGAAAAAATTAACATTCTTCCACTTTTCCATCTAATCAACAAAACCATATTTTCAAACAGCTGTTTCTTCTATAGCATTTCCTTTTCCAGTCAGTTAACTGATACTGAAATTCTAGCCTGGGACACAATTCTTCACTCTATCTAGCCTTAACAGCCTGTTGATTCGTTCGCCATAAAGGGGACCTGACAGAGGCCCGACTGCCTCTCTCCCTTTGAAAACAGTATGCAGTGATGAAATCACACATGTACAAGGTTCTTCTAATCCTACTGCGTAGGTGTGGGAAAACTGGACTTTGTCCTGCAAGGTGCCATGATCCTTTCATTAAGGATATTGAAAATCTAGCTTTCCAAGGCTAAGATGAGGAATTCTGCTTCCTTGCTTCTTTAAGTTTTCCTAATAAATCATTTTTCAGGAGCTAATTCTGAGGAAGAGTCTGTGGAAAGAAAGAAGACACACTGACAGCAGGTTAGTCTAACAGGGTTGCTGAGGACAGTTGTTACTGTTTTACTGTAGTCCCTATGTTTAGCTACTGGCAGAAGTACAGCAAAACACCACTATGGCCAAGAAGAAAATGTAATGCAACTTTCTGCCCTCCTGCAGAGACCAACAGTAATCTCTCCAGTATTTTTTTCCCTGCTGCCCTGATTAACAGCATCAATAAAGGCAATTTCATTATGTGAGTGGTGAGAAACTCAGCAAATCATTCTAGCTGTTTGCCCGCTCACTGGAAAATGCTTCCATTGGTCTTCAGTTATTGCTGCTACACTCTAATTAAAAAATGCCCCAGAACAGTGTGACCTGGTTGTTTGGCTCTGCGTTGGATGCTGCAAGATGCTAAGGTCTTGGTATGATGAACTCCACATCCTCAGACCCAAACATAAACCAAAATTGATATTAGCTTTGTTAGGAAGCACGTGGCTACTTAAGAATGAGACCTTTACCCACAATTGCCTCAGGGTGCAGAGACACATCCAGCACGGTCAGTGATTTCCTGGTTGATAGCAGAGTCAGCTACATGATACCTCGCTCTTCCATGCATCAGCTGCAGAGACTTGTGTTCAGGGGGGACTCAGGCATTCACACCTACTAAAGTCTAAATGTCACAGCCATCCTCCCTAAGAGCAGCTATAACTGGACTAACATCCACATTTTCGCTCTAGATGGAATTACTCTCCTCATGATCTTCAGGGGTCCCCTTCCAACCCATACCATCCTATGATTCTGTGATACAGAAAATACTCAGATACCTGGTCACAGCTGTTGTAACTTCATCATCACTGTTTTGCACCAAAACCCAGAAGAGTTGATTCAGGACTACAGGAAGAAAATTCATAATTACATGGATCTTCTCAATCCTCAGCAAATTCTGTAATGGATGAAAGAATATAAGATATTTCCAGTACGAGAAATGAAGGTCATCCCTTGCTTTCTTGTTGCAGCAGGTAAAATGCAGTGCAGCCACTGGTGTAACAGCAGGAGGAAAACAGGACAACTAAGTAGAGGACCAGTTCCCCATGGAGTCCGTTTTAAATATGACCATCAACACAAGTGTAGGTATTGTCTAAATTTCAGAATTCCAATTCTACCTTGACTTAAAGTGCGGGGGAAAGAGAGAGAAACCACAACCAATTTTCCTATTTCATTAAGAATACGTATGCAAAAACAATAAAAGATCTTAATTACTATTTTCAAGACATATATTTCCTAATATTTTTAGGAAAATTCATTCTTTTTATGTGGAGATCTGATAAACTGAACTTCTTGTGGCTAAAATACTTATGTTAAAAGCACATTGGTAAAAAGTAGTAGTAACACTCTAACCTGACTGGATTAACATTGTATTATCTTCTCTGATCAAGGAGGATATTGAGCTTTTGATTTAAAAAAAACATGCTTTGAATTCCTCCTAATTTTTCATTTATTCCAGACCGTTACAGAATTTCTGCAAAGATATCAGTGATTTATAAATAAAAGCAAAATACTCTGGGGAAATTACTTATTCTGTGGTTACATTACACAGCTGATCCCTTGTCACATACAACATTGCCTCTATTTTCTAATAAAACTACTGAAATATTTTTAAAAGGTAAATTACAAACAGCAAATAAAGAAGAGTGAAATTCTGGTCGTTTAGGTAACTCACTGTCTAGAAAGTTGTGAAGCTTTTATGGATTCATAAACTTTGTCCAATATGCCCAATGGCTTCCCAAAAATTACTAGTTGAGGACTTCATTCCGTACAGGTATAACCTCTAAATAACACTGATGCTTTGATTTTTTAAAATGTCCCTTTATTTCTTTAAATCAAGATGGTATTTAAAAAAACAAAGCAACCCCTTCAGTACTTCCTATATCTATCAACAAAAGTAGTAGCCACCGTTAGGGACTTGCCTAGAGAACTGCCATGATTTATTGGAAATTACTGTTTGCTTCTTAAGGCAAAAATCTCTTCTGAAGCAGCTTCGTAAGATCTGGTTAAGGTACACTCGAGCAGGAAAAAATTAACAATGAAGGCCCAGGTGGAAGCACCTACATGATGGTAACATCTAAACCCCAAAAATCTATCAGATTTTACAGGCTGCTAAAAGGAAAACAAAGAAGTCACAAGTACGACATCTTGGAGCTAGTACAGTGTAACCTGTCACAGCTACCCTTCAGTCCTCTGTGTATTGTTAAAGTTCAGTAAGCAGCCTGCAAAGTGAGAACTCTGATTTTCACTATTCATGAACAGGTAAAGAACCATGGCCCTACATTTCCCTCCTACTTTTCTAATTTTATTGTTATATTACTCCTTTCTCACAGCTTTTTGACCTCTATGGAACAGTTACATTTAATGCAGTTCTTGCTTATTCGTTTCGTCTCTGCAGAAAGGGTATGTTCTTTCTGATTTCAGAACCTGACAGGCAACAAGCACCCTTGATTTAATACATGCAAAATACCCTAAACAGCCTCTGGATAGCATTGAGGTTTTTAGAGAGAAAGTACAAAGAGCCAAGTAGGAGAGAAGCACACAATGTATCTAGAGCAAGAGAGGACTAGCACGAATGAGGCACCTCCACAGGCTACAGGCTCCTTTTCCTCTTTTCCTGGATGTTCCTAGAGCAAAAGAGCAACATTGCACCATCCTTTAACAGGATCTGCGCCTTGGTATAGGCTGGATTATCAAAGTTGATGGGACATATGCAGCTATGCTCTAAATATAAAAGGATGGGAGACAGCTCTGTGACCAGTAATGCATGTGTCACATGAAGGAAGTCTAACTGGAGCTGTCATGGACCCACTGCCTCCTGGTAAGCCCATGCCACGTTTAGAATTGTGCAGTGATGGGTCAGTTAAGAGAAAGCCCTTCATACAATTTTAAAGCACACCTTGTGCTGCAGGCTACTTTACCTTACAAGAATTGACAAAGTTTGAGGTAGGAGGCTGGGATAGATCCTTTTCCCTTTCTTGGCACTGATGGAAAAAATTATTCAGGTATGGATCCTAAAACGACAAGCATTCACATTAATGTGTATTACAGAAAGCATTAGAATTCAGCTCCATCAATTGGTTACAGCTATCACCTGTGACACTGAAGAACACACTTTGGTCCCTACTGCCTTAGACATAAGACGCAGAAAGACAGATCAACTTATTTAGCCCAACCCATTGGCCAGCACAGCTTGCTATATACAATTTATTTCTAGGTGCTTTGACCAGTGCTGTGAGCAATTATTTTTTTCCTCACAATCATAGAATCATAGTCTTCTAAGATATTGCAATGGCCAGATTGGATTTATTTTCTTCCTGGTGCTCACAATATATTTTCTTGCTGTTTAAAGTGATATTCCATGATTTTTCTGTTGGTATAATCTGAAATAAATTGTATTTTTCCTTAAAGTGTGTATTCCATCATTGTCATCCTGCCCTTCTACATTCAAATAACTTTTAAATGTTAGAGAAACAAATTCATATAAGACCTTTCAGACATTCCTGGACACTTTTTGTTTGTAAGCAGGTAACACAGTGAAGAACAAATTTGACTTACCTGAGTATTTACTGTCGATACAACAAACGTAGAGACTTTGAAAAGTGGTTTCCCACTATCTACCCATTTTACATCACAGCCGATCTGCTATTAAAATAAACAACAAACAAACAAACAAGACATTATTTCCACTTATTTCCTACTTATTCAAGCTTGCATCAATTTTTCACTGCATAGCTTTGCACATGGGCACACATGAAGTGCACTGGCTACTGTGTTTTTGCAACTGCAGAATTACTGCACTACTGCTCTTCAGCACAAAGCCATGAATGTCACCATTCAAGGGACCAGATCATTGCCCCACCCTGTCCTCATGACAAGAGGAAAACAAACACAAGGAGCCAGAAATAATCCAAGTTTCAGGATTAAAATACGGTATCACACCCCAAAACCGGAGAAAGAACCACAATCGTGGATCACATCAGCTGGACAATGAATGTCATACAGGCTGAGTTTGTGAAGAGTTCTTTCTGAGCACTCTCATTCATGTTCAGGAGGAGTTGGGTACAATGCTGTAGAATACACAGTTCTAAAAGACAGTCTTTCCATATACACCTGTGAATCAGCAACATAAATCCAGTAGTACATATATTAATTTATATACCCAATGATATCACAGAATCACAGACTCACAGAACGTTAGGGATTGGAAGGGACCTCAAAAGCTCATCCAGTCCAATCCCCCTGCCGGAGCAGGAACACCCAGATGAGGTTACACAGGAAGGCGTCCAGGCGGGTTTTGAATGTCTGCAGAGAAGGAGACTCCACAACCTCTCTGGGCAGCCTGGGCCAGGGCTCTGTCACCCTCACTGAGAAGAAGTTTCTTCTCCAATTGAAGTGGAACCTCCTGTGTTCCAGCTTGTACCCGTTACCCCTTGTCCTATCATTGTTTGTCACCGAGAAGAGCCTGGCTCCATCCTCGTGACACTCACCCTTTAAATATTTATAAACATGAATGAGGTCTCCCCTCAGTCTCCTCTTCTGCAAACTAATGCATGTGAATATTCTAAAATGGATACCCCATTTATTGCTTACGCTTCCAGGTACGTGCAAATGCAAATCTGATCTCATGTAAAACATCTGCAAATAAATGATCTGTGCTATTTGAATAATATGAAAATATGAATTAATACCTTCCCACTAGTTGGTTCTTGAAGGCTCAAGTAATTGGGAGGGAGACTGCTTGCCACTGGCACGTTGTGTTCTTGGGAAGCCAACTGGGCATCTTTCAACAAAGGAAGCCAAGCGTATCCCACTGTGCACAACAACAAATCAGTACGACTCTTTAGAAAAGCAGGCTTCTCAAATTCAAAGGAAGACAATAATATCCAGCCAGAAATTCCACAATCCTTATTCGAATGTACATAATTTATATTTATAATTGAAAGTAATTCTACTACAGGTACCTGGTGTTTCCAGAGCCTCTTTCTTTTTGGCATTAGCTTTTGCATTTATGTCACAGGTGACATGATAAAATGAAAACAGAATGTGGTGTTTCTTATGGAGTTGAGTGGGAAGTTCAATTTTCACCTGAAATGTAAAATGTTACACCTCACTTTAGTTTAAAAGTCAATTAAACCAGGCATCAGAGACGGTCTAAATGAGTGACATCTCTCTCTACACAAAAGATCTAAGTGCAGCTTGCCTTTACTGGCTAATGTCTGTCTGCATGGGTACCAGATTCTCTAAGAAAATTGTTTAGCATGATCATCCATCCCTTAAAACAGATTTATTGCCCTCTGTTTTGTGGATGAATATTTGCAT